GATAGTATGTTTTTTACACCTTACGGGTTATTTATATAAGTGCAGCAGTTGGTTGTATATCGCGTAAGCTTGCATTTCCTATCTAACCCGTCTTAAAACTACGATTTTGTAAGCATGATTTCTTACAATTTTCATCGTCAACCTTAATTTTTTTTTATACGAATAGAAAGATGGGAATTCAAAGAATATAATTCAATTTTATTAACCTCGGTTAGGTTATTTATAATTTTGACATTGAGGCCACTGGAGCCACCTTAACACTCGAAAATCTGAGTATCAGGCAGTATGAGCATCAGTATCGATGTATCGATGTCTGTACGTTGAATACATATATACATATATTATAAAAGGTGATAATGATAAATCGTGTACATAGATGTGAAGGTTATGTTAAAATATTCATACAGTTTACAGTTTACACGCACACAGATGTGTACGTAACACACACACATGAATATATATATATGCATATACCTATATTTATATGTTAATTATGTCTACATTAATAGTGTTTACACACATGCTTACATACTCATGTAGATATAAGTGATTAACATTTATAACTAATTAATATATACATATAGTTAGTTGCTGTTAAATATATAATTAAAAAGTGTATATATATACAGGATATATATGTAAGTATATATACATATATAAAACATCAAATACCTATATGTATATGTTAATTAATTATGAATGTTAACCACTTATATCTACATTAATATGTAAGCATGTGTGTGTACACTATTAATGTAGATATATTCATGTGTGTGTTACGTACACATCTGTGTGCGTGTAAAACTGTAAACTGTATAAATATTTTAACATAACCTTTACATGTATGTACACGATTTATCATTATCACCTTTTATAATACATGTATGTATGTATTCATCGTATAGACATCGATACATCGATACCGGTGCTCATACTGCCTGATACTCGGATTTTTGAGTGTTAAATCGTCACGGCCTATACTCAACATAAAATGGAATTTTTACTAGGCTAGCTAGCTACGTGGCTAGGTGGCGCGTAGGTGCTTTTAAACATAACTGAGCCACCGTCGTCGCCACGTCGCATAAGCGTCCCGCTATTTTTTTTTCTCTCTCTCTCGAGGGCTTGTTTTATTGTTTCGTATGCGATACCACGCACGCAAACACTTTTTTCCCTCGACAACTGATATCTGGGTATATATATGATATGTATAGGCACGCGGTAACCTCAGAATGCTGGAAAACAATTTGTATATTTATATGTTTCNGCGATACCACGCACGCAAACACTTTTTTCCCTCGACAACTGATATCTGGGTATATATATGATATGTATAGGCACGCGGTAACCTCAGAATGCTGGGAAACAATTTGTAAATTTATATGTTTCGATAACACCTGCGCTCAAGTCAAAGAATACACGTATACATGCCACACGTAAACGGTTTCATTCGTACGCATGACTTTGATATTTAACTATATGAAAAACTCTCCTTTTGTTTTTTACTTTTTGGGGTACCCAAAAGTGCCAAATTCAAATTTTAAGGTAGCTCCAGTGGCCTCAATGTTAAAATTATAAATAACCTAACCGAGGTTAATAAAATTGAATTATATTCTTTGAATTCCCATCTTTCTATTCGTGAAAAAAAAATTAAGGTTGACGATGAAAATTGTAAGAAATCATGCTTACAAAATCGTAGTTTCAAGACGGGTTAGATAGGAAATGCAACCTTACGCGATATACAACCTACTGCTGCACTTATATAAATAACCCGTAAGGTGTAAAAAACATACTATCTTGTATTTATTATTACGCAGTTTTCGATGACATGAGAAAAGTGTCTTGTTATCGAACAAAATCTTTAAATAATCGGAGACTAAGTATACAGTTGCGAGTGCAAGTCAGCTCTCAGCTGTCTGAATTCTGCAGAGTACCTATATATAGGTATAACTACTCTTGAACTTAGGAGCTTACCGTAACAGTTCATCAATTAGGGCACCTTAAAACTTTTTTGTTTTTTTATAATAACTCACTAAAGTAACAGAAAAAATGTAGAATATGGCTTACAACAGTCTCTACGATAATTTTATACCATATTTTAAAGAAAATAATGATTAATTTTTAGTCTCCCCATTTTGATACGGCACTAGGCACTGGAGCCACCTTAAGCTACACATATTTGGCTATGATAAAAATAGATACCTATAAAAGCAAGGATTATTCGAAAAACTTATTAATAAAATTATCGTTACGGGTAATTCGAATGGGATGAAGTGAAAAACCAAGTTTATTAATGTATAAATTCAAAATGTAAATTTATTTGACAGAAAAATCGAGCAAACAATTTGCGCTGAATTACATTTGTAATACTACAAACTTTAGCGACGTAAAATATATACCTAATATGTACAAATACCATGTATAAATTAATTATACACTATTTAAAAATTCTATTGACTATAATACAATCTACTTGTTAAACTAAATCACACTTAAAGATGTTAATGCTACGATACAGGTTACATTTTTTTACATTTAAACGCTGTACATTCTTAATATTGGCAATAAACTTAAAATTAATATCACATGAAAAAGCTATTTCACTTTAACACATTCGTCGACTATCTTTTATGATTTTTTATGTATTAATGTCTCCCTTGGCCTGAGAATTTGTTTGTTCGACTATAGGCACTCACCGGTAACTGTATTTAACAGCCCGATTGATGGCTAAAAGTACAATTTTTATCATAATTATTTTCGAGCTTGTGGATATTTTTCTTTGATTGTCTCAACTCAATTTATAACTACTTAGGCCCATGGATAAAAGCACAAGAATAAATAAAACAGCCCTGATACGTGTCCCTGGGTGCAGTGGCATCCAAAACAAAACGTAACTTTCTTCGTCAACAACGGATCTCAAGTACCTAGTCGCAATGGGCACCCGAGGTTACGCTGGAGGACGATAAAGGGGCAGGGATGGCCGCAGTGGCCAGTTCGCGCGTACCCTAAAATTTAGGGTGAACGGGCCTCGATTGGCGGCGCCGGGGAGGCAGAGGTGGCGGCGTCTCCGGCCACGTTTGCTTGTGCTCGTCATCCTCATTGTCACCGATTATGCTACTGCCTCTACTACTGTTTTTGCTGCCTATTCGCAGCCTGGCGTCCTGCTGCGACGATCTCTTGTAGTCCACTATGATCTCCGTGAATTTTATGATCCTCCACCGGTACAAGACCTCCTCCTTAGGGTTCTCGGCTTTTTCGAGCTTGACAGCCGAGTCCTCGGAGCTCTCCAGCGATTCGGGCCCAAAGATCTTGCCGTCTGAGAGCGTCAGCCCAGAGTCCCTCGATAAGGACATGTTATCTTTGCACGGAGGTTCCGTGAAATGGAGGTTGTCCAGGGAAATCCCATAAGCTACAATAAAACAAGACAAAAAACGATTAAAAACCAATTGTTATGACGTCATTGGTGGATGTGAAGGAAAGTTTGGTGCTCACAGTGTAGAATGTTGGTGCTGTCCTCGGCTCCGCTGTCGTTAAGCTCGGCGCCAAAAAGCAGGTCGACCCCTTCGCCGAACAGGACCTCGTAATGCCGGATGAGCATCTCCGCGAGGGCAGGAATCGCCCGGCTCTGGTTGACCGAAGGACTCTCGGACCAAAGCAAACTCGGTCCACAGCACACGCCCAGATTACTCGCGCACATGAGGTTGTGCTCCGAGCGCCGGGCTATGTGGTGCAGCACGTGGATTAGGTGCGACAGTAGCAGGTAATTTGCTCTCGGTAGACGGTCTAAAATGCTACAATCCAAACGAATGTTAAATATATTGACATTCATACATAATAAGGTAGCTCCATTGCGGCAAAAATCACGGGTTGTACCTTTTGATCGTCTTGATGGGGTCCGGAGACTCGAGACTAGCCATCCACAGGGAAAAGAGGTGGGAAGTGAGAAGAGGGTCGGGCAGGGATCTTAGAAAATCCTTGAGTAGAGCGGCAACTGCGAAGACGGGCGCATCCTCGAGGCAGCTGGTATCGCCCGAGGACTCAATCTGATCCCTGAGCTCCCGGACAACCCTCAAGTTGGCGGACTTGCGGAAGATGCCTTGGGTGGAGGGGCCCTTGGCGAGGAGCTGCTGCAGCATGACAAGGACCGGCTTTGGCAGGCCGTTCTCGTCGAGCCGTGCCAGATTTACGCCAAAGACGCGAGAACTCGGGGAGGAAGACCTTCGCAAGAGACCCCATACCCGGGATTTGTGCGACTTGGCGTCACCATTGACCGACGCCAGATTTCGCGCATCAGTTCCCACGTACTTCTCGTACTTGGCAAGTCTTCGAACCTGAAAGGCAAAACGTTTGAGGTCTTGGTTAATCGTTATTTTTTTAAATGCTGCAGAAAGACTACATTTTAATAATTGTATATATCAATAACTCTAAATTGTCACTTGTGTCGGGGCAACATTACTCGTTTGATGAAAAAAATAAGGGCCCTTCCCGAAACTGTAATCACTGAAATTCCGAATGTAATATGCGTCATGCACACAAGCCGGGAGATTCAACTTTCTCGGTTTCTTTTCCCTGCCTGTCGTTCGGTCCCGGGGGAAAGATTTGACTTCAACGCGCCGGTTTCCTTGACTCGAAATAATACATTTTTCCAAGAGCTTATCTTATCTTTACTTTCTTGAAGAGATAATCGCACACGCACTGAATTCAACCAATTGTTTGTACACGCGCGAGGAAAAATCAATGCTGTACATGGCGGATTTAAGCTTCAATCAGCGTAAAAGTACTGCAAATACTTAACAAAAAAGGCGTGAAGGAAAAATAAATGTTGCAAAGAAGTAGCTGTGCCCGAAAACACCGGTGTCTCGAAAATCGGACATAACGCTACATCAGAGGTACAAAACTAGCTCTGTGATGCACCCCAGCCCCGTTTTATAAATGTAGGCAAATGTTCGATGCAAAAGTTCAGTGTATTTTTAATTTAATTCGAAACTTACCTCACCACTCGGCTGGTCATCATTTGATCCGCGCCAAAGGGATCGGAAAGACGCTCTAGTTTTCCTGCACCAGCTGGAAAAGGTTGTTCTCTTTATTTTTCACTGTGAAATAAACTCCGCTTTCACTAGTCCCAATCCAGTTCACAATGAGAACAGTAACTACAACTGGACACTTAAGCACTCCACGATAGAATTACTGAGGACTGAGGGACGACGGTCTCATCGCACTTTCGAATATCCCCACTGTGCACTAATGTGTTTTCGGTCTTTTACTATTGGCCCGAGCGCGATTATTATTTAATAGGAAAGGTCAGTAGTGGGGTCATTTTGGCAGTGACTTGTACATGACTAATTGTGTTCGAGTACATCATTCTCAGGTAGCTCCGCCTACACCGAAGCTCGACACTTCGACGATGTGTAGCTTAAAATTTAAATTTAACACTTTTGGGTATCCTGAAAAGTAAAAAATAAAAGAAGAATATCTCATATGTATATAATGTATGTTAGCCCGTATTTTGTTTCAATTTCTGGCTTTAACGAAGCGTCTTGCGGTATGATGTTGATCATAATTTTTGGAATAACCAAATTTTTGGTGGACCCAGTATTTCATCAGTTCCGCTATACTGGACACTTTTTAACGGAAAAAACCAGCGTATGAAGGTTGTAGAGTAAACAAAAAGTTAGTTTCTTCAGATTTAACACAATTACAAACGTGTATAATGTGGGACAGAAACTCCCTGTAGTCTTTTTTATATCAATCATTAAAGAAGAAAAAAATTGATTAGTTCAACGGAATAGGCGGTAATTGTATTTTACAAAGCATCGATTGGGTTTTTCTTTAAACTCCGATTGACACTACTATTTCTAACGCATTTTTTAATTGATGTCGTTCGAATGATTCGGGATATTTATATTTATGACAATTTCCAAAAATGTTAAAATTTTCGTTAAAGTTCCATAAACTACAAATCATTGCAGAACAAAAAAAAAACAGAGCCAGATATTTGACGCTGATTTGGGGGGATTTATCGGGCACCGAAACAAATGTCAAGGAGCCGATGCTTGACTCGTCGTTTCTCTCTCCGCTTGGCATGTACGCACACATCTCAATTCAAATGTGCAAACGGATATACCACACTCGAACTTTGTTGTCTTCGGTGGCCAGCTTCCGTCGACAACAACCGACGCCTGGCCGCTTTACCGACCCTCTTGAATTGATCACCCCCCCCCCCGCATATACGTTAAAATTCCTAACGAACGCAAAATATATTCAGCTACGATCCTCCTATTTTTATTACAAAGTGTCGTATAGTTGTTAAGAGAGTATCACAGCGACGCAGAAGAGATAAAGAGGAGGAGAGCAAAAAAAAAAAATAAAAAAAAAAATTCAAGTAGCCATAACTACGAAAGCGCCCACGCGCCACCTAGCCAGCTAGCCACGTATATATATATTCATGTGTGTGTGTGTTACGTACACATCTGTGTGCGTGTAAAACTGTAAACTGTATAAATATTTCAACATAACCTTCACATGTATGTACACAATTTATCATTATCACCTTTTATAATATATGTATGTATGTATTCATCGTACAGACATCGATACATCGATACCGATGCTCATACTGCCTGATACGCGGATTTTCGAGTGTTAAATCGTCACGGCCTATACTCACCATTAAATGGAATTTTCACCAGGCTGGCTAGCTAGCTACGTGGCTAGCTGGCTAGGTGGCGCGTAGGCGCTTCCGTAGCTACCTTCTTAGTGGTCGCGTCCCCAACGCACGTACCCACATGTTCCCGTCTAACGATGAGCGGTTGGTTATCCGGGGAACGACCTGAAGACGAGAAATTCTTTGGTCAGCGGCGTACCTTCCTCCATCACAGTCTCCGTACATAGAGACTTCTAGGGTAAGAATCAAGCTACCCGTATAGCCAGCTCTTCATCATCAGGAATAAGGCCATTATAAGAAATTGCGTTCTCTACTTGACCATCAATCTCATCGGTTCTTTGTAGAGGTCACCTAAGTGTAAACTACCTTGCCGACAAATTAATTTTTACTACCATTTCCGGAAGCGATTCGTCGACTAAAAGACTATTAGCTAAAGACGGCCACTATTAAACCAAGTCAGTCATTAACTGGCAGACGTCGCGAGCGGAGTTGTTCTTCGCAAGGCTGGAAACCCTGGCGATCGATTACTGTATATTATCCTCTCAACTCTTAGCATTTAATCAGGAATAACTCATCCTCTCCAAGGTCTTCGCTGGGAGAACCTATAACAGCTATGAAGGAAAAAAATCTTGAGCCAACGGGATAGCCTCCACTGGGCAAGTATCACTAACTAATCTCACCATCTAACATCACCAAAACAACTGAATCTGCAAAAAAAAAAGTGCCTTAGACACCAACGTCTTTGACGTCATACCAGGAGACGTTGGGAAAGATCTTTACAACTAGCTCCAAAGCTTCGGACTTTGTAATTTTTCTCCCCATCAGTCTGGGGCTTCAACAGCAGGCCAGAGAAGATCATCTGAGGTATCCAGGCAGTCACAATTGCTGTTAACTGAAGTCAATAAAGAGTTTACTTAATAAGCTCACCGGTCTTTTTTAGGGCCATCGGACATCGAACTACCTTGCCAACAAATATATTAGAACTTAACAAAGTTGACAGAAAACTCCTTTAGGGGTCGCAAAAGTCGCAAGAGGGTGAATTAGAAGGGAAACTTAAAATGTATCTACTGAATACAATTTCAGGCGTCAAGAAACTGATGCAGAAAATTTATCGAGATTGGAACAGCAGCGTCAAAATCGACAAATAAAGAATCTATTATGTGAGAGATCAGCTTTTCATCGTACCCTCACAGTAATCTCTTAAATCTTTAAAGATCTAAATTCAAATTTTTTAATAAGTCGAAAATTTATTTGTATTTTCGTGGCAATAAAAAATGTATAGATCAAGATCCAGGACTTTGTTGCTTTGGTAATAAAGTTGTGAGGTAAGAGAAAGAAATTTTTTTTTAATACATGTTTTTTGGGAGTTTAAAATCTTAACAGCTTTAAAAAATAGCCCTTTTCGTGAATTATACGGAAGAAACTGCAAATCAACGGCTCCTTATGGCCAACGATTATTTTATGGCATAAAGAACGCACGGTACTTTTCAGCATAATTCTATTTTTTCAATTTTTACACCTTATTATTTGAGCAAATAAACTATATGGATTCCGAAAAAATATGTTTTTAATAAGAAAATTTTTGTTCTGAGATGTGTCAGGAATATGTGTAAAATTTCTAATTGAAAACGTTTCGCATTACATGTCAACCCACTACGGTATTTTATTTAGTAAGTCTCGGGCGAAGCCGAGACAGGGGGCCGTTAGTTGTTAATATTGTATTGTGCCCTAATATATTGTTTATAATCGTTAATTTATCAAATGTTAAGATTTCAATTGAAACTATACCTAATCAACGTAGGTATATTCATTTATACGATAATTGCACCATCTTTGTACACAATATTGTTTCATAGAAGGTATTTTTACACTCATATTTATATTGATTGCCATATAATTTTATATAAGTATAACTGTATACTTGAGTACCCAAGCACCCACTATCCACTGGTTTTTTATTTTGCAGTCATACAAATATGTATAGGTAGAGGTAAGTAACTTAAGTGACAAAGCTTACCCTGAAGGTATTCCTCAAAATTTTGCAGTTGTATCCGAGGACGCTCATGTTGTTGATCTGCACACAGAAGTTATGTGTGTCAAGCTCATGGCTTATCAGAGGTACCTTAGGTGGTGGTACCTCACTCTTTACTAGTTTCTCCCAGTCGAAGCTAACACATTTAAAAAATTTGTGCTTTTTCAGCTTCTCAGCATCTCTTGGCCCACTTCCTAGTCGGTAGTCTGGATTTCCGACTAGCAAGTACGTAATAAAGGTCTCAAGATTTTTATTCACCGTTTTCGGATATGATGGCTCAGACTTAAGAATCGTTATCACCGTGCTGTAACGTTTTTCGATCGGCTCTGGAAAAAATGGTGTTACTCCAGTCCCCAACTTGTACGTTAGGACGCCAATATCCAACCAGTTTTTTACATTTATTGATTCTCATAATAACCATACACACTTTTGGGTACAACAGAAGCACTTCTAGTGGTGACTTAACTATTCATATTCTATTAAATATTCTGCATAGGGGTAAGCGAGGGTATTATTGCGGTTGCTCCAATTATTGCGGCACTCTCGAATAATCCGTACGTTTTAATTGAACTGATGTGTAACGTTGCATTTGTGACGACGAATCGACGTTTTCACGTCGACGCGAAGCCGTCCCGATACAACATACTAAAATCTTCGATCCCGGACAACACCTGAAACAAACAAAATCTACGACCCAATACCCTCTCGAACGCCTTGGCTTGGCTCCGCTCTGCTCTCCCGATGTAGACTCTTACCTAGAAGAGGCCCCGCCGCGGACTGTCCGTCGGGAGGCGGACAGTTCCCGAGGGAAATGATCAGGATGTGAATATCTCTTATTCGTACAAATAAATACACTAACACGGATTTCACTTTTAGACTACTCTTTATTTCATTTACAAAGGATAAACAATTCTAAAGAATCGACGCTACCTCCGGCGCTAACTCGCAATTTGCAGTACACACACACACCTTTGCTCTTATACCCCGCATTCGAACACCTACCTACACCTACACGTACACGCACACACCCAAAGTTCCCGCACTCGACCTAGAGAATGGCTCGCTCTGAGGTTGCGGCAACCTGGTTCGATCACGAGAGCACTTGGCTACAACGAAACGCCTTCGATCACGAGCTACCTCACGCATCAACCCGATGACGAGGACATACACCACGCTTCCTCTCTTGGTCCGCAGGGTGTCCTACTGGTGGCTTCACCAGCTGGTTTACCGAGTCTCAGACAACGCTGCAAACACTCACACACACACACGAACTCTACAACGTCCTACCGCAACGGTCAGCCGGCCCCTCGCCGACTGCCGAGACTCGGACAACACTTCACTTCAAATACACACACGTATTACGTCCTACCGCAGCGAACAGTCGACATCTCGACGACTGCCGAGACTCGAACAACGCTTCGCTTTGAATACACACACACACACACTCTCTCACGCGGTTCTACCGTTCCCGTCATCTCGAATGCATTGACTTACCCGCGATTCAAGCGATCACGCCCACCAAGCTCTCTTCCCGACCTGAACGTCTTCCTCTCGAACCAACAAATTCTCGCTCTCTCACTCTTTTAGTAATCTGGATCCCCCCGCTTACACTTCCTACTCTGCTCCACAACCTCAACGAAATCCCCAGTACCTTCAACCACATACCTTATCCTCGAAACATCCTACATTCGCACAATCTCACTTCGGCGCCACATACTATGTCCCTCTCCCTCACTTTCCCACTAGTCGCTACCCTTACCACGCACTATGCGAAATACCTCCAGGCCACCATCTCCAGGAAGTTGTCAGCGTCGTGTCCTCGCGATGTCGCCCACTGCCATCCTGCTCCTCGTGATTGCGTAGTCTTTAGCCAGGCTGCAGATGATGCCTCCCGTAGATCGCCAAGAGCTGGTGACGGGCGTAGGTTCAACGACGTCTCAATGGCGCACACGCTCTACATCCTTCCCTCATGAAGACACGTCAAGGAGTCCTCTCAGTCTCGCTGCTCGCGTCCGACTGCCTCGAAATCTCTTTTATCTCTTTTTTTTCCCCTACTTCTCTCATACGACTCAGCTCGCACACGTCTCGCTCTTCCACTTAACTACACGTATATACACAAACTCCCTATATTCCCAGCGCATTACAATTTTACAAAAGGACACATACAAAATACAATGAATAATTACAATAATCGCTACAGTCCGTCAACCCATCTATTTTCCCACCAAACTACCGATTCACACTAAAATGTACATATACATATATCTGTGCGCACACAGTACTAACGTTAACATCACATAGTCCTTTAATTGCACATTTCTTCTTATTATTCCCGCTTTTTCCGCTCGCGCTTCTCTTTGCTCGTCCAGGCTCGTCTCACTGACTACATGTCTCCGTCGTCCTCTCCTTTTTCCTCGCATGAAACATAACGAAACATAAACACACGTACACAGGGCATTAAAACGAGCCTAAAACCTCAAATTTTACATCGAGTCGAGTTTTGGTGTTCTTCGGGCTATTATGAAAAATGACCCCGTCATAGATGAGTTATGGATAGTAAATACTTGAAATTATTAAATCAAGTTATAGAGTACCTAATTCATTGAACTTCAGTTCAAAAATAGCCTTAAAAACTTTACATTTGTATAACAAAAAATCACGTCCGCAATAACTGGTGCACACATAACCTCTTTCACTATGATGATATTATTGCGGATACCCGGTTGATTTAGCATTGAAATTGACCACAATAATACGTGCACAATAATACATACAGGCCCGCAATAATACCAGCATTGGCAACTGAACTTTAAAACCTCTTTTTAAATCAATATTCATGAGTTTATACATTTATAAAAGGGGAATTCAATAGTTATTGAGTCCAACATTAATAATAAAAAAAAAATCACAACGATTTGACGCACTTAATTTCTTAGACAATCGTTTAAAGCTAACCACTAAAAAAAACCGCAATAATACCCCCGTTTACCCCTACTTAAATCATTCTTCGATCTTTTTTTCGGGACTCAAGCTCAAAACTTATTCTTTAAGTTGTGTTTTTCTGCTGTATACTGACAGTTTATTCTTGAATGGCTCATAAATAACTATATATATAAAACTTCATCAAATAATCCAACGACTTGTGTTCCATAAATCCGTAGTGGAAGTCATAGAGTACTCTGACAGATGTAAAAACTCTAAAACGGTGTGTTACAGAACTTGATATTGTAGAAATCAAGACTTTGAAGCTTACTAAGATAAAGATTTTCATATTATCTGATGGACCATTACATTTTTCCGAAAAAAAAAATTTATTATGAGTCATGACCGATAAGTTTGTTTAACGTTTTCGAAGATCTTTACTCATTTTCGAAAGATGCTATATTTTATAAAATCATTTTTTAACTTTTATTTAGAAATATAAGTTAAAGAAGAAAAATTTAAGGTAAGTTTTTATATTGACCAACCCATAGCCACAATATATTGTAAAAATAATGTACAAAATTTTTTTTATTACAAATATTCAACAGGGACACTAATCCAAATATTTGACAAAGCCGTCAACGATGTTATTAGGTGCAGTAGGGCTTACTGGTGTCACGTTTACCTCTGTGTACTACCAAATTTCAAAATCATCAAGCAGAGCAATGGTATAACTTGTATAGCATTAACTATGTTTTAATATTTTAAGGCTAAAAAACTTAACTAGATGTGGTACAGCTGTTCAATTTTCTTAACCACTAATATACGATATATTTAAAATGAAGCATTAATCGTATTGAGCTACTGGATATTGTTACAGTTAAACTGGTGTAGCGAGTGGTCTACTAGACATAAAGTGTACGAAACAACGCACTTGTTATCATGTGAAATGTCGTTGCAGATCATGAATTCCACAATTCAAAGCCTGTTAGTGGGGTTTGACCTGCCATACTACGATATTACGCTGAAGCAGGTTCTGCTTTCAAGGTTGCCTTAAGCGTTTCATCAGCGTGTTTTCTAAACTTAACTGTTCTTTTACTATGTTACCTATTTTTGGAGAAATCTCACGGTAGTCAAATTTTTATACAAATTGTCAAGTAATTCAGAAGACTGAGCGTTTTTATTTAATTTTTAGGATCTCTGCGAAGTAAATGGAATTTTATACGGAATGAAGACGTACATCGTTTTCGTAGAATCAAGAAGAAGATTTTAGTTCTATTTACACTATCTTATTCTCATATTAAACATTGTGGTCACGCGTGTAAAAGCTACGATAATGTTCTGTTGAAAAAGTTTTTACCAGATTATGCGTGTTCTTTTCGCAAAATTCTTACAACTTTTAACTACATATGAATACTCTTGTAAGGTATGTTGATCTAAGAGTCACGCATAAATATCCTTAATTACTGAAACGCAGTGAGGTTCAAATATTTGCATGAATGAAAATCCTTACAACTCGCATAAATTTTTATTTTTATTATCTTTGAGGAGGAAAGGAGTAATTAAATAGAAACACTTAAGTTTTTGTTCCATTTTCATATAAAATCCATGTATTGTGTAGATTTTTAATGCGTTACAAAAGAAAACAAATGATAACAGGCTGCGTCCCGAAAAGTAATGTATAGAGAGAAGAAGAAAATAGGTATATGTATTCACTGATAATTTTTTTATCGTTTTGATAAATTTATTTACTTGTAAATAACATTATCAATTTGTTAATTTTTAAAGAAACAACAAATTTGAACGCAGAAAATGATATGTTTTGCTATAATAACGACGATAGCTGCGTATTCATACAGTTATTTTTTATCTTACGTACTTAATTTACAGTTATAACATTCGTAAAGTAAATCTGTACAGCTAAATCAACAAAAAAATTGCAATATAACACCTACAGCGCCTAATCAAATCAAATTTCCACGTTTATCAGTGTACATCTCAAATTCATTCAATTTTACGTTCTTTTGTCGCTTGGTTCAACTTTTAACTTAGAATTACATGGTTTATATTCAAAATGTATAGTATTTATCTTTGCGATATATCACACGTCGCACGCATGTTTTTCCATGATTGCATACACACACACACACAAAGAGTTTTCCATGCGTTTTTACATTAGCTTTTCGTGTAATTTTTTTTTGCAATCGAAAAATCGATGATAAATCACCACTTCGATTATCTTATGTACTGTAGTCAAACGCAGCTTTATACCTTCACAATATGTATTTAGTCGTTTGTCTTTTCTGTTTACAAATAAACAGGTAGTTAGAAATCGCCGATTGATTAGATACGCGTATTATATTACCATTTATGGATATACGTAGTGCTAAAAACTGTACAACACAGTGCGTCCAAGAACTTAAAAAGTTCAGAAGACAGAATTCGTTATAGAAAGTTCTCTCGGATTGCATATGTTTCTGCAGTATGCACACCCATTTTTATTGCACACTTATACAATCAATGATCTTGATTCTAGTTTTTCTTAAGCAATTATTGTTAATTTTTTTTTTTTTTTTTTAAATTATGAGATAATCACACAATACGTCAGGCTAATATTATCAGTAAAAGCCTATGGACCTGAGTGACTATTTTAGTATTTACTTACTACATGTGTTATCTCAATGTTAAAATATGTACATCAGGAAATAACTGTTGTTCGTCGTTTTGTTTTTAATAATAAAATTGCCATTTGGCTATTACGTTGCCTATGACCTTTTTTTTAAATAAGCCGGCATTTCTTCTAATATGATATGATTGCGAACAGTGGAGTGGGTCATAACGTTAGCACAAGCATGTTACATATAGATCAACGTACGCTCACCCATCTGACGTTACACCACAAATATTACATTTCGTTACTTTATACAAGGGTATGGGTATTGGATCTGTTTTTTCATCAAAATCATTCATTCAACGTAATCGAGTCTTTATGTGGTTATTTCCGAGTCATCGTTGAATCGAACTCTGATATATACATAACGTCACTCTGACATCGTTCGTTCAAGCATAACTGTAAATAATCCTACGCATCTCATTCGACAATGCGTCTCAATACATGTATAATAAACAAAAATATTTATCTAATAACTGCATCGATTCGATTCGATAAATAACCAGCGATAAACTTACAAAACTACGCAATGACACGTAAAGTTTTTAACCGTTGAAAATTTAACGTCTTCATTTTCGTGGTAAAACAATGTATAAGAGAGTATTTTATTTTTTATTATTTACTATGATTAAGCAACACTAAAATTTTATTTTTAGTACCTGATACTCTTACTAAATATTATCGGAGGCTTAAAAAAATTAAAGAGTCGTCTTCAGAATAATATTTACATTTTTCATGTTTATCAATTTATAGTACACCACCATGGATCAACACAATTTTTACAGGAATTAGGATGGGCTATGTATTCACAATATATTATATTATTTGCTAAACAATAATAAGTAAACGTCATGGAATGAATAAATTTTCTCCAGTAAATGAGGACTTTTTCCAACTCTACAACCCAGGAAAAAGGTATAAAAGATTTTGTGAAAAATTTTTCTTCATCAATTAGTAACACGTCAGAAAAAAAAAATTTCTAATTAACAACACTATTAAACATTACCCGTGTCAAAGCTACTGACAAGTCAATTGAAATAGATTTCGCAAATCAATCACTGGTTAACGATAAATAAGTTAAGTGAACAGAAAAATAAGGATTAATGCACATTCGTCCCAAACCTATGTATAATTCCACGATTCCGCTTCGTGAACTCCAACGACCTCTTAGGTCCATGAAAATAGTTTCACATAAGTGTCATTTCGCTCATTCCATGAGTTTCGACTTTGGCGAAAAACATAAAACCTCCACAGTCACGATAGCTCTGGCGCATCCAACATAACGTTGGGGTCACTGCCGAAAAACAACTTAAAACAATGTAATGATATGCTCTCAATGCCAGAAGGCTCCACGCAACGCTTGAGCGCTTTCCTGGATTATCTTCGACGAGTGTTTGCTAGCCTCTAACTTTGGCCGTCGCGCACCCGCACCATAATAACTGAAATAATCGATCCTCGTGATTTAAGTACGCAATTGTCCATGAGCTCAACCTTGACACTACAAAGCGGAACTGTACCAGCCGTTGGTGGCCGTTTTGTTGGCCGGATGGTACAAGTGGAATCCTGGACCGGCTGCCGGGTGATGGTAGAACTGCGTCTGCTCGGTGGCCAAGCTAGCCGTAGCGTACGCCGCGGCCGCATCCAGAGCGCTGGGGTGCACGGCGGAGTAGACCTGTGGCTTCAGGGGTAGCGGCTGGGCCGGTTCATACTGATGCCGCAGCACTGGATCCCCGTAAACCGACGCCTCGTAACTGTTAATTCCCAACTGTTGCTGCTGTTGCTGCTGCTGGTGCTGCTGGTGTTGCTGCTGTTGTTGCTGTTGTTGCTGCTGGTGTTGATGTTGGTGCTGCTGTTGCTGCTTGTCACGAGGCGAGACTGACGAGGGTGGGGTCATGGCCGAGTGGTAGTCAACCGCGTATCCAGCTGTTGCCGTGTACGAGGACACGAGGTTCGTGAAAGCGTCGGTTCCAGCGCCAAGCTTTTGATTGTGGGCCGACAATACAAACTGGTGGTCGCCGTAGTTTGACGAGCCCTCGGAGCCAGGTGGCGTCGGTAGGGGACCAGTCTGGGGGTTCTCGGGGTAGTAGCCACCGGCGGAGGGTGTTCTGCCGGGTGGTCCATTGCTACCTGAGGTTATTCCGTGCACGTTGGCTCGGATGACGCTCTCGCGGTTAGCGTATAGCTGCCTGAGCAGCGCCGATGCTGGTAGGCTGGTGGACGACTGCTGGGGACTCAGATGGCCTAGATGGTGGTGAGCGCCAATCCATTGGATCGTTGACTTTTGTTGCTGCTGCTTGAGGAGGGCATCCGTGCTAAAGTCCGTGGGTTGGTGGATCACTGGGGAGTCGGGCTTTGTCAGGCCAGTGGCACCGGGCAGGTGCTTTGACATGGCTTGCTCGAGGTCCTTCACGGATGCACCTCCGGTGTTTGTTGTCCCACCATGGTGCGCTTCGGTCAATTCATCCGTTCGACGTACCTGTAAGATTTAGATGTGAAATAAATGGCTTAGCAAATGTTTAAATAAGGGTTTTTTTTACATTGGACTATTCACTCATTCACCATAATAAGCACGGATGGATAAATTGTATTAAATATCTTAATTATTCACACTTGTCTATTACGTTTACTGTACTGTATAATGCATGTATGAATAAGCACTGATTTTACATGAGATTTTAACATGAAAATTTCGTGTTGTAAGTAAACAGAAATGGGCTCCCCTCGATTCCTTCATAGTGAGTTAACTTAAATCGATTAGTCAGAAAATGTTACTGTTACACATCAATTAAACCAGAATTTACGGTTACACTCATCAGGAAAACGTGAGAGTGACACATTCTTAAATTACCTGTATTATTGCTATTATGCTTAAAGTAGTTTGAGAAATTTCCGTTTATTTGTTTTTTTCAATCATCCATTAATTAAAATTTCTCTTTAATTTATAGAAATAGATAAAACAATGATGGATTTGTTTTAATTCAATTCATTTAGGTTTCAGAATTTGATGTTCACAATCCTAAATATAGAACTAAGGCTTATTAACAATTATTTTCAATTGTAATTTTAATACATGAAATAGCATAATATCTTTATTTGAATAGAGCTCGCAAAATAATTTTTTTTTTTTTGTAATAAAATGTACACTTTTCACCAATCGATTATGTTCCTATATCTCTTAATTTGCTTAGAAAAGAGATACTTCGTAGCTGAAGAATCAATTTAAAGATTTTTGTTGTGTTAGGTCAGTTTGAAAGTAATTTTTTCACAGACGCCTTTGCAAAAAATCAGAAGAACAATCAGATACAAAATTGGCAGTGCTCAATTTAATATTCTTTTTTCGAAGCTATAGAAGCTGTTTTGGTACACGGAAGGTTCTTGGAATTACTACTTACACACACACACACACACACACACACACACACACACACACACACACACACACACACACACACACACACACACACACACACACACACACACACACACACACACACACACATATATACATGTATTAGTTAATAAAAAAATTTAGCCAATATTAATGTATACACAACATTTATCGAACAATTATAGCAATTTTTTCGCATGTCAACTGGAGTGATAAACTTAAATTTAATTAGTTTAAATTTAAATACGATACCTAGCCTTTACTCATTTGGCACTCTGGAAAACTAACTTCGTTTATTTTTAACTGTAACCTAATGGTTCAAAAGCTGTATAAAGTAAGATGTCCCCATTGCTATCTTACTCATTGATTTATTAATAATTTGAGAGGTGAAAGAAATGACGATTGCATATTATATGTGTGGAGTAACATAGCAAATCAAAGCTAAGTAGACTTGTATTTCAAAACCACTGTGAGATAATACTTGTAACTGATTCTGTAAATTTGTGCTTTGTAGTGCTACTTTGACCACACATTGTGGTATTTCGCAAGGTCTCATAACTTTAACGCAGGAATGTTTGAATTTGACATCGCGAAACGTAACTGAGTAATCCACGAAATTAATTCTACGACGATATCTCGTAAACTGTTAATTCAACTGTTTTATTATATTAAAAACTGAGTATCCAACTTCTGCCACAGACTTTGAGTATAAATTTTATGCATGTACTTTTGAAACCTCTAAGCGATTAATTCAAGCACTTCATAGTAGATTATTCAAAACTAGAAAACAAAAGTAAAAATATCTCAAAGGTTCGAAAAAGAAACTTGAAGCGTTAAAAATTAATCAAGTGGGCGTTGTAAAAGTGTATGGATGGAGACGCTCAGTTTTTGCCACAAATGTTGTTTCATAGTTAATAGCAAAAAATAAGAGCCCTTGCAAAGCCCTTTCGTCTTTCCATCCAAGATCAAAAAGTGTAAGCCACTGCAAAATCCCCCCGTGGCTCACCTTTGGACTGCCTGTCCTCAGCATCTGGTCGTTCGCGGGCACTGAATGACTAGACGAGGCGGGACTAAGGGCGTGACTCCGTCCGTTGGTCGTCACGTTTTTCATTCCCGTCTCTTCGTCGTCGTCGTCCTCGTTCGAGCTGCTGTCCTCCACCACAGGAGGGGCCACCGGCACAGCCACGACTTTTCTCTTGCGCCCTCGCTGCTGCAGCTTCGGCGTTTGGGGCTCTGGGGGCTGCTGCTGTAGATGGGCTACAATGTTGTCGTGGTGACGACCACCTCTGTCCGTCTCGGAGCCCCGAGCCTCGTCCCTGTCGTCGTGAGGCGATCGGTGCGAGTGCTCTGGATGTTGGTGTGTGGGCCCTCCACTGCTCCTGCCTTCTGGAAACAAGGGACTGAATCAGTTTGAGCCTAGTAACGGGTACCATATTCATAAAGCTGTAGAAATTTTTTTTCCTTTTTTTTTTTTAATTCTAGTTGAATGGTATTTTTATCCTTAGTTAACTTTTTTATTATTACGTGAAATGTATTACTTCAAAGTTTGCTAAAAAAAAAAATTCAGTTCAAAATTAAACGGTCTCCACAAGTTTTGTGTAATTTACATTTTTTTTAAATTGACTCGTGATTAACAATATGTCTTTCTAAGTAAAAAAATACATACAATTTATGTTATTATGACATTTAATTTGGATTATTTTCTAAGGTATACCAAAGTTTTAACTGTTGTGTAGTTTAACAACTATTAGAAGTAGAACACAGGAACTAATGTAGATGTGTAGAAGCTAAAAATTTTGTGTAATTTACAAAATTATAAAGGTTAAATATCAAAATTACGTTATTTTTTTTTGTATTTTCGTATTAAAAATGAGTGTATGATAATAGTTTACATAAGATGGAAATACTCAAGATTTGTATATTATCAAAAAGACATTTGTGTCAAATATAACTTGTACAACACTTTTGTAGTCTTCAGGCTTAACTTCATCAACATCATTTCATTGGACGTACACATTCTAACTCTAGAAATTATTTATAGGTTGAAAGAGGCTTTTTTAATTTTGAGGGCATTAAAAAACAACAGATATTGTGTTACATTCATTACAGATATAGTTCCAAAAAAAGCATAGATTGTCCTTATCAACAAAATATAGATTAATTGGTATTCCAAATAGATGCTACGTATACTTTATGGTATAAAAAAACTTGCAACTCATTTCAGTTATTCCAGGATGGTAATAATGCTGACTTAAAATTCAAAATTGTGTGTAGTAAAATCTTATTCATTTTTAATACCATGACTTGATGGTGATTAAAATTAAGCTAGATCGTTACTGTCCATATTTCAAAACGTATGTAATTAGAAGAAAAAAAATGTATCTATTGCTTGACTGTATCTAGGCTGTCTTAAAGTAAAGTGATAGATGTATAATAATACAAATATAATTTGTATCACTAAATAATGTATGAATAGTGTTTCATAGGGTGATGTATGCTTGTAAATTTTTTATACGCACGTGTGAAATGAATTCACCTATAATTTCAGATATAACTTAATTACGCTAAATTGGCTGCAGAAAAAAGTTGTTATTAATAAACGTGACGAAATCTTTTGTACTATTACAAAATTAGGATATCCCATGAGATTAAAAAATTAGCTAAATACCTATTTAATTTTACGTACACCTGTAGGGAAAGAAATAACTCTACAAATGATCCTTGAAGAAATTTTTGAAATTTCTTTGTTTGTCGTCTCAGGTTTAAGGAAATACGCGTTTGGTATGAAATGTACTATTTTTTTTTCTTTGCCGCTTATTTATCTTTTTTTTTTTTTAATAGAACAACGTGTGTATCTTCAAACGAAAGCGACCCATATGACTACCTTTACAAGGCACCACTGAATCCACATAAAAAAAAAAAAAAGAAGAAACAAATAAGTACGTATTTATCACAAAAACCAAGCTAGAAAACTGTACATGCTAGATGCGGGTCGTGGAAAGAGAAGTCATGGTTTTCATGTACGTTGAAAGCATCGTCCATTCGTAGGTGCGTCAGTGTCCTCTTTCATTGTAGTATCTGTCGTAGATCAATGTCTCTCGTCTCCGTCTCGTTCATCGAGATGAAAGACGCGATATTTTTCATACTTAGTCGTATATGGTCATTGTGGATGACTCGAAAACTCAGAAGGCAGCTGTGCTTCGAGACTTTTTATTTGTCCCTTGTGCAGGTGTTTTCAAGTCATGTTAAATTTTTCTGTAGTAAGATGTGTTCATGGGTATTCCATTACACGTCACAGGTACTAAGGAAAAATAGTAGCCCTCATAGGTGCTGCTAATTAGTGTCAAAGTTTATTCCGATTAGGTGATAATGGAAGTTATCGTCCTGCTTTTTTAGAGACAATTGTACTTTTTCTTTTAAAAACTGACATAAAGCCTGTATAGTTTGTACACGGATAAAAAATTTGGTTCATGCAATAAAAAAAATAGTTGCTGTAACTAGAACACCCGTCAAAACTTAACCGTGATACCACTGAGTCTCATTTTTTAACCATTTTATGCATAAAAAGCACTTCATTTTTTGAATGTATATTTAAATATTCCAATAAATAATTACGGCAAATAAATGTTGGATAAAAAAAAGCTTTTGTTACATTCTTTGTTCTTTACACTCAACTTGTGAATTACAGCTACTCAATTAGCATGGCTAAATCAAATAAGTGCAAATTAATTGTTTTCAAAGTAAGCATTTATGTATTCTCTTTTTGGCAATTCCTAATGGTCTTTTTAATCATTGTAACCAAATATATAGTTAACATAACTACTATTTTCGATGATTGAAATAGTTAGAGTAAACATTAAATAGTTAAGTAAACAAGTTTTTTTCCATGACTTGTACAGGAATGTTATTTGATTTGATTTCATTTATAACAGGCTACCGCTGCTTTAAAACCTAATGGGGGATAAAAGCTACCATTGCGAGTTTAGGGTGTCATCGACCCATTTCCTCCTTTCCTTTGGCTAACAATACTTGTGACCGCAATGATGGATCGGCATAGTTAATCAGCGTCTTTGTTGTGAATGTATGAGAACAAGAAATAGAAGGCGATTGAAAATCTTTGGAATGAAGGTGTTTTTTTATACGAAACAATTTAAGGAGCTTCACATATTGATAAATACACTAAAAATTTTAAATAAAATTTCATAACATAAATAAACTAACGTTGTCATGTTACTGATAAATAACCAAAGACATACAAAAGATAAATCAAAAGACAAGGCTAACGAGAACAAAGACTGAATCTAACAGAATCTCACCTCCTCTGTCAGCGTCGGGCGAACCGTTTTCAGGATCGTTACCAGCCGCGTCTTCTCGCTTGACGCCCATCACACTGTCCTCGAGTTGGCAACAGTCCATGATCAAGTTCGCATACTCGCGACCACTGTAGTTACACGCAATAAGACAAACTTTTGTATTAATCATCAAAATTTTATCGTTTGTCTCAAATTTTACAAATTGGTACGAACCTTATGACGTAGTTGACGCAGATAATATTCTGTTCTTCGGCGTTTTTCGAGTTGCAAACGACCGTCGCGCAAGTCTGGAGCCACGTGTAGCCGCCACTTTTGTTCATAAGTCGATAATAGTGCGTCAATACTTGCCCTTTGTGTATCACTGGAAAAAACAAAAACAAATGAATTTTGACTCTTACTAAAGTTTTTGTCTATTCTACAATGACGTTTACTTCTATTTTTATTGCAAAATAGATCAAGTCCTAGATGGAAAGTGATGGACTCGAGGAGAGGTTTTTCACGCAAAAACTTTACATCATCGTCAATTTAATAAAAAGCAATGGAACGTGTCGTGCATCCCGACGAGCATTGACGTTGCGAAGAACAGAGAAGATAAAACAAGGGACGAGAAGTGAGAGGAGGAGAATGAAAAGGAAAACTATGGAAGGAGAGGAGGAAAAGGGCGTAGACTTCCGTCGAATGAGCGAGTGAGGTAGTAAATGACGAGGGTGTGGACACGCGCAATCGAGTGGCGATGTATGCGTATGTTCAGCATAGGAAAAGGGACGGAGGTAAAGGGACATGGGTAGAGAGGGAGAGGGAGATGAAAAAGGAGGTAGAGACAACTATACAGGGAGGAGAGACCTAACCAGGAGAAAGTAAGATGTATGAGGTGGGGAGAGAGGGAGAGACGAATAGGTGAAAGGAGTGAGAGACGAAGATAGATAAAGGTGAGGTGAAAGGGATGAGAGGCGCAAGACCACCTATTCTTGCCCCCACCGCACGTTAAACCGCCTTTGACTGACGACGGCAATGGCTCACTTCGTTTACATCGGAACGATATTTGTGCTTTCGTTTTCGAAGAATTTTTTAAGTTGCATTGTTGTTGTCAGATTTTTAAAATTTTTAAAAACTGATAAATTTCCGCTACTTTTATAAATCGTCTTTTTTTGTGAAAGATGAATTAGTTTATAAGAAGCTGTTACTCTGGTAAAAAGGTCTGTCTGTAATTAGTCGTATTCCAGCATTCTCAAGATCAATTTAAATTGAATACAAAATTCTTGAGATTCTTATCTCAAGAGAAAATATTTTGGTTTGCTATCATGCTCTTTTAATTAGGAGTTTATCGATTTTTCCAAAATGTTCTTTTAAACGTGTTTTCCAGATTTTTATGGATTTTGAAAAAATGGTTTATGTTATAGAACCGAAAGGATCATACAAATTTTCACGAAGAAACGTAATTGGGTAGGAAATAAAAAAATGGCTGTGTGGGATGTGTTTGTGTCTTAGTTCATATATATGTAGATGATCAGTCATGTATCCGAATTTTCAGGTGTAAACCCCATAAAATATGAGTCTTTCTTTTCAAGATTCTTATTATTGCTGAGCAGGAATTAAATGTTTCGACTATTGTTTTTTTTATTTCATTGTACCAATTTTAATGTTCATTTAAAGAAAAAAGTTATTCTTTCGAATTTTTACTGTTGTTCCGAAACATCACATGTCAAAATATCAAGAAGATCATAATATTANTGTCAACGTTGACTTCATGCGCACGCAAAAGGCTCGGTCGAAGCCCTTGTACGTTCCACTGGCCGTTAATGACATCACTGACGAAACTGCAATTACAAATCCACCGATGCACGGCGACATTTTTATTTCATGCTACTTTTAAGAAAAAAAAACTCAGTGTATTTATAAAAAAAAAAAATAATAATTTTCAATGGACAAAGGCAAGCTGATATAATCAAAATTTCCAGTTTTATAAAATGCTTAGTCAACTCGATAATTCGTAAACTAATTCACCTATTTTATTAAACTAAACTGTTTTTTTTTATTACGATAGACACATACAAAGGAGCAGAGAGTATAACTTTCTGTCACAGACTCTACACACTTTTAAGCGTGTTCAATCTGTGACAGCCAACTTTTTTTCCTCCACAGCTTTCCTACGTTGGTTCTTCCCAAGTGTCCAGCTTAGTGAAACTGGTTGAATAGTTGGTGCACCATAGATTTGCTTGTTCATCAAATTCTTATCCATGCCTTGTGCCAATAACTTAATGTAGTTTTTCTTCCGGTGAGGTAAAAAGTTGTTAATCAAATAGCTATACTATATATTAATAAAATATCTAATTGTTAAAAAAAATCCAAAAAAAACTTGATTAACATTAAGATGACAAATTACAACAAGATATTATTTTGATAATTAGATAGAAGATCCAATCAATACTGCTGTAACTTGGCACAGCATTCAAAAGAAGTATTGATCTGTCATTTATACATTATCGCGCCCATAACGAACGAGTATCAACTCATTTTACGAGCTCGCATAATATTTTTCTATCTGATTACATTTTTTATTCAAATACAATACATGTAAATATTAGCAACATCACCAGATTCGATATTAATTTATCATTGCAATCGTTTCTATCACTCGAGTCTGAAATCACAAAAAAAAAATCTAAGAGAACTCCAATCACCGAGTTAATGCGTAATTTAGATTACATTTTGCAAGGCCTTGCTTCTCTCCGTACTCGAGCACTCAATCTCCGACAATTTTCATTCTTCGCTCAATTGTATACCCTATCATTAAAGAACCAATCGACGCGATGGGAAATAGTGAAGCATTCTTCCACCACAACCAACATCACGACGACGAATAATTCCCTTTTCATCATCCTTCAAAGGACCATACGTCGTCTTCTCGAGCTATCCATCTTTTCCCCCCCACCCCCCGCTCCCTCGATGACAGACACAGCTCCATCATCGGAGGCTCTTGCGCTATGGGCCCTTTTTTGCACGTCCCTCGCATACACAACACCCGCAAGGTGTACATCATAAAGCGAGGGAAAAGTGCAATAGCGCCGAAGGTGGGGGAGGGTACCGAAGGGAGGGCAACAACTCGCTAGAGATGCCGCATCCGGCGTACGCCGACCCGCTCTGCATACCAACTACCTAATCCCGTCGACAACGCTGCTGATGCTACGCCGTACACCGTCGCCGTTGTCGTTGCCACGGCACGTATATCGAAGCCTCTCCGCGTCCATGTGGGCGCGTTTGGGTGCAAATGCGGGAAGCAATGTGTACTCCCGCCGCCTGCATGCGCTCATATGTGTGTGAGAGGAGGAGGGAGGCAGGAGTTGTGGCGTCTGTGCTTTATGGCAGATACGTTCGAAGACAACACGCGTTTGGGGCTTTTTTCCCCCCTTTTTTTCGATTTCAGCCTGGTTGTCGTACCCACGCCTTGTTCGATGCAAGCGCGCTCTCGCCCGATGTCGTTTTATTAAAAAAAATCAAATACGCGGATTTATCGCTGGGATGTCTCACGTTGCGTTGCCCGTGGAATTCTGCCAATTTATGAGAATCGAAGGTCCATTTTTTCACAGGACTCGTATAGTTCCATACATTTCTCACATCTTTGGTCATATACTTACGATCCATGTGGGATTTCCGAAGGCGATTCGCGTCCTCTCCGTGGCAGAGGGTGTACAGGTTCTTCCCCGTCAGCTCGTCCGCTGTGTAGTCCAACAGCTCGGATACCCTGCAACAACGACATTGCTTATGTACTTCTGCGTTTTTTACTCTAAGTAAAAATCAGCAGACTCGTAGACTCATCAGGATGAAGTTAAGTTTAGAGTAACCCACTCGGTGGAGTTTGCGGGTGTCGTAACTAAAGAACTGGTGCGATGGCGCAGGAATACGTCCATCTTAGAGATTGTCTCAACTTTAGAAATCATTTTAAAATACAGATATGAAAATCATCCGTTTTTATACATCATGCGCAAATCTAAGTAATGAAAATAAAAAGGTGGTAAAAAAAAGTCAACCAAAGATAATATGGCACGTAAAACCAAGTTGCGGTGAGCTAACCCATGCAGGTAATATCTTACGGGACACAGTGGACGGATGTACAATGTAGAGGTGCACGCCCATACGCATAATCTATAACCGTACACTCACTTTGGTTCACAATGCGCTATCCGGAAATCGAAACTGATGCGCGTGACAAACATGTCGGCCTCGAGCCTGATTTCGTGTACACTTGGTGGCGGAAGCGCTATCGCTAGGCCGACCATCCCCATGAGCGGTGGTGATGATTTCCTCGTGTGGCTGAACGTGTACTGCGGCCTCAGTCGACAGAGCAGCAGCACGACCTGCACAGAAATAATTGTATATTTATTTTCGCTCTTCACAATACTATCGTATATTCACTTGATTGTTGATTCATTCATTATCATGGAAAAGGAGTGTTGTGGGAATGTAAGATTTGCAGCGGAAATCATTAAAACTCTCAAGTGACTGGGAAGGAATCCGAGATAATCCCTCCACTCCCCAAGTGCAAAAGCAAACTCGTCGAAGGCGACAAGTGCGTCTAGTCCACTTGAACTCTAGCACACGCCACGGGCGATGGTGGACGGCTCGGGATAATGTACATGTTACAAGTGGAGGCACAAGCCACTATTCACTAAGTACTCACTCGGTAGCCGGAAGACTTGAAGTGGCAGCCTCTCTTTGTCAACGTTGACTTCATGCGCACGCAAAAGGCTCGGTCGAAGCCCTTGTACGTTCCACTGGCCGTTAATGACATCACTGACGAAACTGCAATTACAAATCCACCGATGCACGGCGACATTTTTATTTCATGCTACTTTTAAGAAAAAAAAACTCAGTGTATTTATAAAAAAAAAAAATAATAATTTTCAATGGACAAAGGCAAGCTGATATAATCAAAATTTCCAGTTTTATAAAATGCTTAGTCAACTCGATAATTCGTAAACTAATTCACCTATTTTATTAAACTAAACTGTTTTTTTTTATTACGATAGACACATACAAAGGAGCAGAGAGTATAACTTTCTGTCACAGACTCTACACACTTTTAAGCGTGTTCAATCTGTGACAGCCAACTTTTTTTCCTCCACAGCTTTCCTACGTTGGTTCTTCCCAAGTGTCCAGCTTAGTGAAACTGGTTGAATAGTTGGTGCACCATAGATTTGCTTGTTCATCAAATTCTTATCCATGCCACCACAATATATTTAATAAAAAAAAAAAAAAGCAAAACTACACACTTTAAACGTGTAATTAAACACGCTTGGATTTACAGTGATAGTACATCACATCGAATATGTCTAATGATATTTGTTACGTGAGCTATCTTCATTGCATGGATAGATGCACCCCGATGTGTTTGGATTCTCAACGCACAACCTAAGACGACCCAATGATCAATAAAGATGGTCACCTGGTCTAGGCCGAGCATCCACCAATAACCCAAACTGTCTGACCATTGTCTGCCCCGTACGTGAACCCCAGGCGTGCACGCAACCCCTTCCCCCGTCGCGAACAAACGAGCTAGCGACGCACGTCTACCCAATCCGTGACTCCCGGCTATCGTACAACAGCTTTATCCACCCGGGCCGTACCAACCAGCTCTTTTCCGTGCACGTATACACGTACGCGACACGTGGATACCGGCACTCGGGCAGGGGGGGGGGGATGAACGGGGCCGGGGGGAAAAAGGGAAAGAGCGAAAGCTCGCTGCCGGCCGTCTCGCATGGAATAACAATTGGGGAATACCGCGGGGGTTGCATACCTTATGCGACCACCCCCTTCCCCTTTGCCACTCCCGTCATCCACCCTCTCGGTTGGCACGCTTGTCCACGTAGACCACCCGCTTCCCGTGCGGCTTCCACGTGAGGCCGAGCGTAGGTGCGACGACCCCATCCGAACGACGACCATGAACGAGCCAAGGGATGGAACATAAGGCCGCGAGCCGACTATTTTCAACCCCCGTCACGGACTCCCCGTCTCCCCCGTTCTGCCCCGGGTGGGTGCCGAACCCACCTTCGGCGCACCTCCAGCAGCACGTCCGACGCCACTGGCACGTAGCCGCACCTCCACCGATTCGCGTATACCTCCTCTCTGCTCTCCTTCTTCCCCGCCACGTGATCATCTTTCTCTCCCCGGAACTATAGGGAATACACCATTGTTGAGCTGTGGCGTGTGCGTGCACTGGCCTCCCTCCTCGACTTGACCAACTGCAGGAGCACACTGGCTATTCCTTGGTCACGCTTTCCAGGTTACACGTTCATTCACGTGGACGAGTTACCGAGGAAGGGAGAGCGCAGACCCCTTTTTTCCGGACTCTCAATCGGCTTGGCCACATAGTCCACGCCACCTTTCTCGCGTGCACGCGCGTAACAGGGCGTGACCGAAAACGAAACGAGGCCGATTCGCACCGCGGGCAGCAGTCGTCGTCACGTTCTCGCGCTTGGACCGATCGTGGTTTCCCGGGCTGGGGGAAATGAGCCACTCGTCACGTTCTGCTACCTACTGTTCTGGCTTTCGCGCACATGGGAGAGGGTGTTTTCCGCGAGATTTGCTCGCGACGACCTTGTGGATACAGGAGAGGGAGAGACAGGTGTTGGGAGTACCGAGGTCGTCCACGACGTGGTCTGGGTTCGCTGATGCCAGGAGAGTATATGCCACTGAGGTGCTGACGGCGCGAAGGTGAGGGTTGTGTGGTGTTTCGAGAAGACGGAATGTGGATGGATTAAGATGTCTGACGGTGTTTATTTATTTATTTTTTTTTTTTTCTAGTAAGTTAAGGTCTTGCAACGAAAATTCAAGGTTTTGTTTTTTGTACGAGGTAGACGTGTTTATTTAGATAATGGAATTGGATGAAAATTACAATACGTCAAAGATAAAGTGATCTAATCTCATCCGTGTGCTTGTCCACTGCTGTTTAACGAGTGGTTATAAGTATCAGGGCTTTCCATAATCCATATTCCCAGTTGTAACTTTCTTAATAAGAATTTTTACAAACATATACTACATGTGGGGCTCCAAAACATACTGTTCGTTTAGCATGATAATACCGGTATACGCTTGCGATAAAGTTGGATCAGAACTATATCAAGCATTGAGAAAGCCCCTAACATTTGTTGAAGTAGGCTAAAAATACTGACAGCGTATTTGAAAGCTAACAAGTTTCGCACTCCATTCAGTATAATGTGGAACTTTTGACAATGGCGTAACTGCCGAAACAGCTATCAGCCTCATTTAGAGTAAAAAATAAATTGTGAAACAAAGCAACAGTTTTTAATTATTATGAATAAACCCAGTTATTAGTAACATTTTGATTAAAAATGTTTCACCAACGTCCAAGCGAGACCTCATTTGATCTAACATTTACGATATTTTAAATGGAGTATTAGGGACCTCAGGTTTTATTTCTACTTGGGTGGTCTACCAAAAAAGTATCGTTGCTTGTCAACGTACACCTTACAATTTATCTGCTTATGATTAAATGTGTGATACGAGGCACAAAATTTTCAATAAAAAAAATCGTAAAAACTTCTAAGCCTACTTAGTAAATAAGAAATGTATTTTTTTAAATCCCTAAGAAACTTTAAAGCACCCCTCTACAGTTTGCATCGAGCATTCCTTTGTCCATAAATACATCAAAAATAGCTTGAAAAGGCCCAAGACAAGCCTGCGTTTGTCATCGTTTCTTTTAATTATTATACTATATGTTACTAGAAAAAGTAAGGTAATGAAATACCGTCTGGATTGGCAGTCGACGATGACCCGTGATCCTCGGAGGCGCCACTGCTCGGTGATGCTAGACCCGAACTCGACGAGTGTGGCCCCGACGACGAGGACGAGCTTGCCAAGCCGAGGCCAAGCTGATCCGCAACTTCTGCATGGTCGTGCTGGTGAACGTAGTCGAATACGCTTGAGCCCGTCATTTCGACCTGGAGTCACAGAAATTTCGAAATTTTTTCATACATCGTATACATCAATACCATCGTGTATAGTTGATACTTTATGCGCGTAGCACGTACTTGATGTAAGAAAAGCTTTTTCTGCGTACTACATTAGAATTCGTTGCGATAACGTTTCAATGATTAATAAAGCACAATGTCGAGCAATCAAAGTATATTAAAATCTGATCACAGATGTCGAGTTAAGAACGTATGGAGGAAAAAAAATCAAGTATTGTCCAGGTCCTAAACTTGTACCGTCAATAAACACGTCTGAGGTTTCGGACACTTGCCCAGAGTATTTTTGACAAACTAAAAAAAAAATTAAACGACTAAAATGACGTTTGGTCTCGTCTTTCCAGCTCAAAAGTAATAAAATAATTTTGTCACGTTTGTTACTTCTTTTGCAGTTATATTAATGGTCTATACAATTTTTTAGTCCTTAATCGCTTTGGGCGAGCGCTCGAAACTTCAGACTCGTCAATAAACATCTTGGATCATTATATTGCAATGGACAAATATACGTCTGAAAAATTAGTAGCTTACTCGCTTCTCCTCCCTTATTTTTTTCTACTGGTCAGGTACTCCCCAATACTAAAGTTTTTTTTTCGTCAAACCTTATACCTGTGTTAGAATAGCAATGGAATTGTTTCTTAGTACTAGCGTATTTAAAATTTTCCCTTTCATGTATCATATCATTGAAATAGAGAGATGTACTCAGACAAATACCAACTTCTGTGGATGGGACAAAGTTGTTCGTTTACAAAAATCTAAATGTTTATGGTATAGTATTGAAGTTTAAGGTCCTACAATGGCACTTACTTATCTTCAGTGAATTAAGTGTGAGAGTATTTCATGATTTCGTTCGGATTGTCGTCGATTAAAAAAATAAAAAAAATGTTTGTTCAGGGCTGATTTTCTTTGATAAGTATTTTACTTTCATACCAAAGTACCGAACTACCTATACAGTTAAACTCTTTTATTCAATGAACCATTAACCATCAGACACAATATGACCTTACTTTGCGCCCTTAAAGGAAAAAATAGAAGTGGTACATTGTGGCGTACTATAGACTATAACTTTTTGTGCTATGCGGTAAGTGTAAAATATGCAATTTTATACATGAAATTGGCCAATAATGGTAAACAAAAGAACTAAAATTACCCTTGAAATTAAAGTATTTGTAAAAAAATTCGTTAAACATAAAACCTTTTTCACTACCTCAGGGATTCAAAGGTGTTTGTAAATGTTGATAGCATCCGTATACAGGTACGATTATGTGACACCAAAAGACCAACGTGTAAAAAATCGTTTACTCGAAAAACGTGCACTCGTTTTCGAGGCTCCACTCGATTATCCCTATCGCAGGTGAGGGACACATCCTCTCTGATGGTCTTAGTCCCACACACAATCAAGCGTTCAGTTGTACACGCAAAACATCTCTCGACGAATCGTATGACCTCACAAACCCACGTACACGTTACACACACCCACGTACGTAGGATAGATTCCTAGAAGCGAACGCCCACGCGCCAAGAATACATAAGGAGGACGGGGCGTAGTCGGAGCTAATAAAAATCGAGGCTAGCCGCTTTGGGATGGATTGATTCGATCGGCCACGCAGGCATTAGACAGCGTACTCACGACGCGCACAATATAATATGATTTCTCTTGCTTGCCCCGTTAGCTCTGCCATCGTATTGGGGAAAAAAGGTGTCTGGTACAGAAATCGGGTCTCTTCGTTTGCTAAAGGTTCGATCGGCGGGATTCCCCCGGCACGATTTCTCGTCGAGGTCTCTTTCGGACGCAAATTTCACAGCGACGCGGCCATAAAAACGATGCTCATTGTTTCTCCATTCACGTGGCGCACACTCACGTAAGCATACTAGCTCGTAGAGCGATTGAAAAAAAAAAAATCTTACCCAACGACTTTTGATACACGCACACGGACACGAGTTGTCCCGATGGACGCCACGCATCGCGAAGAGGCCCGTTGACGTGCGACGAAGAGAATCGGGGTCGACTTATCGCGCGAAAACGTGTCGGCCGGTGTCATTGCACAATGGCCGCAAAATCCGTGTCCACGCGGCCGTCGGACCGGCGCAGTTCCGTCGGATGGTTTCTTTTTACTTTTCATGGGATCCCCTACTTTGAGTGACCGTCGTTTCACCCACTTTTGTAAGATTATCGTCGAATCTATTAGCACTTCCGGGCTATCGAGGTGGAGCGTCGATTATGGTTTTGGAGTAGTAAAGAGTTTTTATGCGCAGTATATACGCACCTCGTTTCTACCATCCGACGGATGCAGTGGCTCGCGAGTTCCGCGCCGGCAAGAGTCTATACGTACTCGAGTGAGGGTGAGCTGCTGGCTTGTAACGCTCTTTAATCAGTTATGAGGTACTACGAGGATCCAAGGAATGGCTTCTTTTTATGCACCCGCTGAAAGCCCCTTGAATGTGGGGGGATCTTTCATGGGGTGTGGAAAAAAACTAGTCACTTTGAGCGAACGGAAGTGCTTGGTTAATGATCCATTGGATATATAGATAACTCAGGGTAAATGGGCTGCGGTGCACTATAGATTTTTTTCTTTTCGTCTTATATCGTCTGGTCGTTGAATCCTTGATACCCCTCGTCTTGTGCGAAAATAAACCAATGACAATTTTATAATTTTGTCGATGAGATATGGATGCACAATGAGGTACAATAAGACTCGAAAATTCTAGAGTCTCCAAGTCTTCATTCGGAGTTAACCTAATTTAGTTTCTTGATGACCCACCATAAACTTTCTTTTGCCGTGTGCAAGTTAATTCACTCATACGTAGTCACAAGTGACGAAAATCACGTGCACTTTACGTAGATATCCCAAATGACAGCAAGCACCAAGCAAAACCAAGTGAAAGGTTTCTAAAAAAAAAAACACTAGAAAATAATGAGGCGATTCGTAGATCTTGCCGTGGGACTCCGTCGGCTACTCGCGTGGATCCGGTTGGATGGCATCCACAATACAGGAGCCCGTCTCGATGGCGCGTCCATCTTCTCGTGCTTAGGCTCGCGACTCGAATACTTTACACCAATCGGTGACCGTAACTCTTGTTTTTTGATTACCAAGTCGGATTTTACACGAGCAATCGGAGGATTTGACTACTTGAGTAACGAGTTTGATCAAGTACTGGGATTTTTTTCTGTGGGAGTCGACACAGGAGTGGAAACAATTTAAATCCTGTGATGCCTTGTTAGTAAGCCACTTGATGCAATATTAGAATACTACATGAAAAAAGAGAACCCCCGATGGCTCAAAACAATAGTCATGTTACTAAAAAGGTCCCGCGAGCAATTAACCAATCGACTACGGCCCCTCCAGCCATTCTTCGAAGGAATTGAAATTTTGCATTTCTCCACTCCACGAGTAGGAAAATCAAAGGTGCGCCCCTGGAAATCGGAAGAGCAGAGCACATGCAGCCATGTTCGCGTGCTCGGGCATCGTGGAAGCAGTTTCTGGATTTCCCGAAACACCCTATTGATTGCCCTGCCGCGACTCCCAGCAGCTCCTCTCTCTCTCCCTCTCTGGTACCGTTTTCCTACTTCTCCTTCCCTCCCGTCATGTGTACGTATACCCACACACGTGCGCGTATTTCTATTTCCCTCCTCTGTGTTACCCACACTGGTGAGTCCACCTCCGTTCTTGGCAGTAGCGACGGGGCATTAGGAATGGCGAACACGCCGCCGTGCAGAGACTACGTGAGCGGCATCGCGGAGTGCACCCACCCACTACCTCATCCACCCCCTGGACTCGCCCTCCACCTCCTCCACCTCTGTCTCACCCCTCCGCCATGCCTCCCTTTCTATACCCGCCCTTCCTCCCAGCTTTTAGCGGCTCGCCCTCTCTCTCTCTCTCTCTCTCTCGTTCTGCCAGTATGGCCGCCAGCAGCGAGCCTCTCCTCCCTTGACCTCCTCCTTCTCCTTCTACCATCGCCTACACCCGATGCTCCTGGTGCTTCTCATCACCTATAGCCCGAGACTTCCTCCTTCTGTCCCCATACCTACGGCTACTCCTCGCCAACCAACAGAGAAAAGAGGAAGACTATAGTTTCTATTTCTCTCCTGGCCACCTTTTACTGCCGATTCCACGCGTGTGTCCATCTTTGCGTTGTACCAAGAGTACTCGTTTTCCCTGTCTCTCTTTTTTTTCTGTTTCGTTTGAGCCCTTTTTTTTACTCTCCTCTTTCTACTGTGTGCTTCCTCAGCACTAACATTTCCCTACTTTTCTGTCGTCTCGCGATTTTCGTCTTCTCTGGCCCTAATTTTTTTTTTTCCTATTACTCAAATTGCCGGTTCGAGTAGCTTAAGCTAGCAGAACCGATAATGATGTGTTACGTGCTTTTTGGAGTACCTTTTTTTCCAAATGGAGTTACCTTAGTTTCTTGCGTTTCGAGTATTGCAATGGTACGGTAAGTCGAATCAAAGAAATTCTCACCTGCGAGAGACCGAGGTAAATGGATACCGTCTCGGAAATGTACAGGAATCGTCCGTCAGCCGCGACAGCCATCGCGAAGCCGTCAAGCGACTAAAATTCACAAGAAAAAAAACAAGGTTTCACAATTAGTATACATTAGTTTTTTAATTTGCAAAACTGAAATTTGAAGATAACTGTTTATTTACATAAAAGTGACATGTAACGGGATAATACTAATTCAATGCAGGTCTGCGTCTCTCTTACCTGCAGTATGTGGGTGCCTTGGTGTTGCTCGAACATGTCCAGCGCGAGCGATGCTGGTGACCTGACTCGATTTGCACCTGCAACAAAGTATTGATCGTCGTTTAATAGGACGATAACGAAATTTTGTAAAAAGTGGGTTACAATAAGATACATGTTCTTTTATCCTAAAGGCAGCGATATTTTGTGCCGTAAAGATAGTTTTTCATTCTTAATAAAAAAGTAGCCCTGGCTCCATAAGAATGTATTCCTCCACAGTGGCTACTTTTACCACCGAAACCTCATTAAGCTGTCTTTTTCTTCGAGATGTTGAGATTTTAACTCATAAAGGATAGTAAAAGTTGGGAGAGTTATTCCTGTTCTTCTTCAATTATAGTCAAGTAGTGCGTCATGACACATGCAGGTATAAGTCGCAAAAGAGTATGCTTACACTATTCATACGTCTACGTTGGTCTTTCAAATTTTCTCAATCAATGAACAAATTTTTAAGTAAAAGTATTGTATACATACAGTTTTTATATAAACTTGTTCAAGTCTTCCCCCAAAAATGATTATATATTGTTTGTATACTAATTGTATATTAATTGTATATAAATTGTGTATCACGTATAAACGTTGTTGAAACAATACTGCAAACATCAGCAAGCATAAAAATTTTATGGATAATTCATTTTTTTATAGTTCCCAGGATAATACGTAACTTGTAAGTTATGCGTCATGTTTTACAGCTGACAATACATTATTTTTCAAACGAAGAAAACTTGAACATAAGTTGCCGTAATTTGGATACTGAATTTATTGAATTTTTTTAACCTTCATTTTTTTTTTCGTTTTCATTGTTTGAAAAACATACATATTTCTTCAGACACATAATTTTTGGAAAACCAACGAATGAAATTTTTGAAGAAAAAGAAATAGAAATAGTAGAATGTTTCTGTGTCAGTCATAATACTAAAATGAAAAATATTATAATTTATGGTATAATATTCATTGAGAAAAAAGTTTAAGCCTCAGAAATGTGTCATTGTCCAAAAAAAAAGAATAACTATTCTATGAAGCCAAATAAAATATTATAGGTGCAGTATTATGGTTTTCATTTATAAATAACTAAATTAGTGTAATTACTCGCAAGTATATTAGTGTAGTTACTTCACTAAAGTTTTGTAAATAAACACTAACGAATTGATTTGTCTCACAACGTTGTGCCTGTAAAAGTGACTTGCTATATTCACGTTATTTCCCGTAATTTCCTTAGAAAATGTGAAAAAAAAAAAGAAAAAATTTGTCCTAAGGACTATAAATACTTTTCAACCAATAAAAACTGAAAAAAATGATTTCAAGGAAACAAAAATTTAATAAATTCAGCATCGAAAGGACGGCAACATATGTTGAAGTTTTTCTTTTATTAAAAAAACAATGTATTATTAGCTGCAAAACATGACGCACAGTTTATAAGTTGTGTATTACCCTTGAAACTATAAAAAAATGAGATTTCTATAAGTTTTTAGTCTTTGATAACATATTCAGTATTGTTTAAGAAATGTATGTAAGTTATATACAATTAGTATACAATTAATATACAATTATGTTTGGAGAAAAACTTCATCCAGTTGATATACAAACTGTTTACAATACTTTTACTTGAGAAATACCAAACATTTTCTATACAATGTGTATTTTATGACCATTCGATATTTTTAATATTAGTCAAGATTTGTACAAAAAACTTGGACAAGTAAGGCCTCGTAAAATCACTTATATACGATGTATACATAAACAAAAAATGCTGCATTTCCAATCTTTGTACCCCCGACCAACTAACGTTTTCAATCTCTGAAGATAGTCACTCATGAGAACATTTACATATGTACTTTGTTATAAGATCACCATATCATTAGTAGGCACGATATTATAGGCGTATTATATTCATATGATTCTAAGTACACAGTTAGAGGAGATTAGGCATTAAAGATTTTTCACTCGTTCATCCAAGTTAAATACTCCAAAGGATCAAACATTGTTTGTATTTAGTCGAATTGTTTCTTAATAAGTCATAGAAATGATTGATGCATTATCAATTAAAGAAAGCCAAAGAAGTTAATACAGTTTTTACTCTTATACGAATCACATTCCAAAGTATTCACATTCTATTCTGAAAAAGGTGTGAGATCCACCAAAACCCTTTTCTGAGCTTGGGTATGCTAAAACTAATGTTGCAAAATCATTTGTTTGAATGAAACAATACTTCTTATCAGCTGCAACAGTATTGGTGAAAAAATATCCAAGCTTGGCAAAGGTTTATGGGAGGTCCCACTACTTTTGTAATATAGGATTCACCAAAAGTAATTGTCAACCCTCAAACTGATCAAACTTTTTTAGAAATAATGATTCTCTCGAATGTCTACGGATGGGAAAACCTATGGAAAGGAAAAACGAGAAAACACCCAATGCTGACGAGTAGGACTGTACTCCCACGCGTCCAGGACGAACAAAGGCCCGGCCGGTCAAGTGCGTAAACACAAAGTCCGTTGGGATTAGCCCAGCGGTCAATACAACCAAATACCCATATCGCCTGCGGAACTATCTAAACTGACCCCTCGTCCACACCAACGTCGACTACCCTGGGTAACAAGTGAGACAGGAGAACCATAAACGCGAGAGAAAAGCGCGTGGGGGGAAATTCAGCCCAGCTCTCTACGCGCACCTAGATTAGGAAGTCGTCGACAGCAGTACACGGTTACAGCAACGCGGACGAGTTTGATCGAGTCCTTTTCCTAAGTCTCTCATCAGGGGGATCTTGGTATCGGCTCTCCGGGAGGGCGGAATTATTATTACCTCCGCTAAGGAGCGGGAAAAACACACGTACGCGTGCACGAGTGTATACGTAGGCGCGTGGACTGTTTGCCGAACGAGGGGCTCTTCTATCTGGGTATTTCGTGTATATATACATGCAGGTTCTCAGCTGCGAGAAAAAAAGGGTTCGGGCGCCCACGGTTTCGGGCTCGAAATCATCCCCGTCCCTTTAATCCAAGTTCCATTCCGTATTGGGCTATCGACTGCTGGTCTTTCTTATTGAATGCTTTTGCAACCCTCCCATGTGCGTAGGTGTATGTGACCGGAAAAAGAGAAAGAAAGGCATACAGTATTGGTAAGCCCCTGTTCTTAGCATACTTCTTTTGGCTAACGAGATTATAGGAAATGAGTTTTCTCCTCGACTCTTCCGTGTTCCATGTGTGCTGGATATCACTAGGGGATGTGGATGAGATGATTGGCGAAATAATAGATCGTTGAGGAAAATCAGTACTCCACATCCATGGAAAACCGAGTTCATTGACGGAATAGTTTTCTCATTGGATCAAGTGTAAAATTTATAGTACGATGATGTACGGCAACGTACTCTTGGGCACGAGAAAAGAAAAAGTTATCGGCAAAGTTGGAGCATCACCCGAACCCTCGACCAAAGGAGTCTAATTATCAGAGCCCTTTTCCTCGACCCGGTAAATTAGCAAGGCTCAAGAAGCTCGAGTGTGAGAAAAAAAAACACCGCCTCGCAGTAATATCACCGACCGGGTGCGAAAGAGAAAAAGGGGGGAAAAAAGGCTCGAGGCGGTGTGCGGAGTCTGGGCGAGCAGAGCCCCCGGGTGGTGGGGCCATTGTGTCGAGCACCGGTCAAGCTTTTCCTTGCCCTCACCTCACCCTTTTCCCGTCGCCCTATAAATCTTCCGCACTGCAGCTTCTTTCAGCGCGAGTCTCCAGTAGGCAGGGAAAAAAAAAGTTATCACAATATTTTCATAAATACGTTTGGTGTGTTTTGTATCCACCCACACCCACGAGGGCACTCCTTGCCCTTTTTGTCCGTCCTCGTAACTCAAAGGTATTTATTTTGAGAAGATAGAAAAACGGCCATTCGATGTGTGCCTTGGCTTATTTCTTTTCTCCTTCGCATGTGTACCTTCTACATACCTATGGGCGTGAGGGTGGGAGCGCTGCAGCAGCGTACCGGCCATCTGAGACCTGCAGACTTATACATCGAGCGTGAAAATCAATAAATACTGGTGGGGGGCACTGCTGGCTCTACTGGCACTGTACTCTTGATACTGCGGACTGGAGGCTGCAGTTATCATAAATTATTATTACCACTATTACCCCTGGAATTACGCCTTTGAGTTGTGATAATCGTGGATGAATCTTGGCGAGTGCGTTACCGATTGTTCTGGGAGGAATTTTGCGCTCATGTCTTTTCGATACTGAAGGTCAAGTGAGCTTCTTTTGCTACTATGGACTTGTTTTGGAAAAATAACTTGTAGTTAAAGACTCACTTACACAATCTTATCATTATGCATGAGATTTTGATTGTCAGAAAGCTACATGCACTTGATACTTTCGTTGAGTCTACGCATACCAAATTCATGAAGAAAAGTGTAGGGAGTCACAGTAGTTTTCTTAATTGAACTCTTACAATTAATACCAAACAAGATGAATATGGTGATCTATTCTCATGACCTTTCGGAAAGTGAAGAGGCGTTTCAAGTAAGTATCAACTAAGATCTGATTAATAAAAAGTATGTAAGGACTTTGAAGTAACCAGTTTATCTGAATATCTGTTCTCTTTTAATTTCGGCAAAAGTATGCTCTGACTTTGGCAAATATAAAATGCGATTAAAAAATTAGTGGTCGGAGATGTACAAACAAATTTTCTCCGTCACTTTTATGATCGTAGGCTAACAAAACTATTGCACAGATGTAGCATTATTATAATGAAATTATCAGAATAATTATTATAATAATCTAAGCAAACAAAGACTAATAAGATTGAAGTTAAGCTTAAAAAATACGTCAGTTGAGACGACTATCAAATTTTTAAAAACTATTGAAAAATAAATAACGTTTTGGTGCATAACATAGTATCTAAGGCTCTTACCGCTTACAATAAGTTTCTATTTATTTTGGATCACTAAAGTTTTTTTTTCTTATAGACGTAAGAGTTAATTCAGTTATGTAAGCAATTCTTATGGTATATAAAACTTCAAAGACATTGTAAAACGCTGCTCTAAGAACTATCAAGTAATAGTTTAAAGTA